CTTACAACATGATTTCCAACATGGCCATAATATGTTTAACGAAACAATTTAATTATATTTAAAAATCTCATAATTATTCGTTTTTGTTTTGTGAAAATTATATTAACTTTTATGTACATCTACATAATATATATGTCTCTAGTAAAATGTTTTTTCAAGTGGATAAGAGCGTGTTACATAATTTCATGCTTCAATTTTTTTTTTGAAAAAAACTTTCTTGTTTGATCTTTTTGCAAAAACAAATAAATTGGCGTTAACTACAATGATAGCAAACATATCGTATATTGCACGAGTAACTGAGTTCGCTGACACCAACTCTAATTCAAAGGAGCATGAGACATGAAATGTGCCAATAGTGCCTGATATCGTGGCCAATATGTTGGTTTGGAAAGAGCTTTCATGGCTGCTTGACAATCCAAAGCTATCAACACATCTGAAATTTGAAGATCTCGTCTTTGTAAGGACCAAATGATACATCGCAGTTCCGCAACTATTCGGTTAGGAGAACATGTGAAAGCATCTCGAGCATGAAGAGAACTGAGTCGGTATAGTCCCTTGCAATCCATGCTCCACCATTAATTATGTAATGCGGAATTCCTCCAGGTGGAGTTGACGTTGCATTTTATCGTACCTTGTAAAGGAGGCAACCATCTTGAAACTCTGTTTTGAACCAGCAAGATCGTGAATATTTCTTCACTTCTCTTTTTGTTTTAATACATTTCTCTCTCTTCTTTGAGTTGGTATAAATGTCACGTATCATTTCCACAAAACCACCTTCATATATAACCCTACATCATCATAATTGATGGGAACTGAGCAGGACCGAAAAAAAATGGGAAGACGTTATTTTCCTTTCAAAATTTGTCGGTTTTCCTTTTATAGTTTTTAAGAATAATCTATTTTCTATCCTTATTTTTCTAATCCTAACCGATTGGGATGAAGGACTAAAGCTCTATGCCTCTATATAAAGTTATAAACCAAAGTTTTTTTAGGGGTTTTTTATTAAGATTTTTTTTTTTTTTTAATTTCTTGTTCTGAGATTGAATCGAATTCTCTTAACAAGAAGTGGTTTCTTCTTGTCTTCCTGTTCAAGGCATCAAATTGAGTTGATTTTCGGGTTTTGGCTGCGTTAGGATTCCAACTCTGCGTCTATGTTATTTGCGTATTTCTTCTCTTTCTCCCATGTTTCTTCTCCGCAAAGCTACATAGAAGCAACTGTTACATCAATTTGTCTTCTTCTTTTGCATCTAGGTACAATTAAAATTATCTATGATCTTAAAAATGTATGTACACTTAAGTCCTCCCAAATCACTTAGTCAAACGATCTATCTATGAGGTTATATATATTAGTGAATATTACAAGAAATGTCATTTCTTTCCAAATTTCTTTCTCAATCTGCCATTAAATTTTCTTCTTTCAAAATCTGCCACAATCAATTTGCCCATCCACTTGCAAAAACACTTTCACACA